TCTCTATCTGACTGTAGTTTCTTTCAGTCATATTCAGCGATCTCGCAGCGTGAACGATCGCTTTCTCAGACTCGTCAGGGTAGGCATGTGAAGTTACTGCTCCGATTCCGTAGTTCGACGCATCTGCTGCGACTATAATTGGAAGATTGGGATCACAGTGTGTAAGGAGGAGGTTTGATGATAGGATCTGCTTTAGTTTTAGGAATGCTTCCTGGCATTTAGTTGACCAGAACCATTTAGTATCCTTTTTCAATAAGCAATTGAGAGGAGCACGATGACGATGCAGATCTGGAAGAAAAACTCCATAATTACTAACCATTCCCAAGAAAGAACGTTAAGTTGATACATCCGTCGGTGGAGGCATGGACTTAATGGCTTCGACATTTTCAGGATCAGGTCTCTCCCGTTTTTATCGATTATGAATCCCAAATACCGGAATTGCTTCATGCAAAAATCACATTTTTCGGCACGCAGTCTGAATCCATAATGTGCTATGCGTCTGAGAACCGTATCCACCTTATTGTCTAAATCAGCATAGTCTGTACCCATGATCAGTATATCATCGAGATAGGCCGCGGTACCAGGAGTGTCTCGTAACATAGTTTCCATAACTTATTGGAAGATTGAAGGGGCGGTCTTTACTTCAAAATGAAGTCTGTTATATCGGAACAACCCCTTGTGAGTGTTTATTGTCAAGTAATGTTTACACTCATCCGCTACCGGAATCTGTAGATAAGCTTCTGATAGGTCTAATTTCGCAAAATAATTACCCCCATTCAGTTTCGCGAATAAATCCTCTGGTACCGGCAATGGGTATTGATAGGCTTCAAGCGCTTCATTTAATGCAGTCGAATAATCTGCACATAGCCGGATACTTCCATTTGGCTTTTTGACAATCACTATTGGAGCTGCTCAATCAGAAAAGTTTACTGGCTCTATTATTCCACTTCTTCCTGGTTTAAGAATCAATAGTGCTTTTACCTTTTTGCATTCCCCCAACTCTTCCGTAAACACTTGACTGTGTCTTTCCAATACAACACTCTTCAGATCCTTTTCCACCGATTTATTGGTTCTCACTGCGCTGCATATGTGGTTAATGGGGTGATTTGCTAATTGAAGTGTTTCTATCAAGTCTAGACCTAGCAAATCTAGTCCTGGATTCTGTGTAAGATATAACGTTGCATTCGTTTTTGCGTTTCCTTTCGAAACTATACAACAAACCTCTCCAACAATATTTCGTTTTCCTCCAGAAGCGGTGTGAGCTAACTGGGTTGTTGGAAGCACCTGTAGTTTTCCGATAAGATTCCAAGTTCTTCGATTAATAAGTGTGATGTCCAAAGCGGTGTCGAGCTGCAGGCGGGCACGCTATTTATTTATACCTAAGTTTACATACTTTTTTGGCGGCAAATTCGTGCTCGATTATGTGATACGAATATTTTGTTAGTTCGAGCACTAAATCTGTATTTCCTCGAGTAGGGTTTCAAAGAATGTCGTTTAAGGGTTCTTTTTCTGCAGCAGTTTTCTTTGTCCCTTTCGATGACATTTGCTACAACAATGTTCATTATATGGGCAGAATCTTTTATAATGCTGAACCCCCACAAGACCGACATGGAGATGAAGGCTGATTATCTGTGTGCGATACCTTTCTTGAGTAAGAATCTTTCTTTCTGCTTACAGCATGAACGTATGGCAACTGGCCATTATTTTCGACCATCGAAGTGTCATGCTTTAGGTTTACGAATCTCTGGCACTCTGCGGTTACTTCTTGTAGTGTCATATTCGGGCATTGTTCAATTTTACTCAAAATTCTGCTTCTAATATCGGCATCTTCGGGAGATTGGAGGCTGCACACAAACACGAGACATTTAAACTGGTCTTCTGTCATTGCTGATAGTTTGAAACGTTCACTTTCACGGTTCACCAACCCCGCATGCTTCACCCAGTCACCATCATCTGCTTTTGTCATCTTGAGACATTGATAACGAATATTAAACAAGGATGACTGTTCAGCAAAGATTTGCGACAAAATTTCAATCATTGCATCAAAAAAATATCTTGGATTCTTTGGAAGGATAAAGTTACTGTAACGTTCATGTTCAACAGTTCCAAGTTTTCGCAAGAGTATTCTGACCTTAGCGGCGTCATCAAGTTTTTTGAGGTCGACCTTGAAAAAGTCTTCATATTTCTTGAACCAGGTTTCAAAAGTAATGCCAGCTGAACCATCAAAATTAAATTCATGGATAGAATTAACAATCTGGTCAACATGAGATTTGAAGGGATCATCTGTAACTTCTTTTTGATCCAGGTTCATTTTCTGAGTTAGCATCTCTATCATGCGCATCTGGAACTGTTCTTGGCGTTCCAGTAAGGCTTCAAATAGTCCAAAGGTAAATGACATATTGGTACGACAGCCTGTCGCCAGATCTTATATCTTGAAGAGTTGATTTTTCTTGATACTACAGCGTATAACAGAGCACTAGAACACCAAATTCTTCCAAGTCGCAGTAAGAAGACAGAAGACTAAGGAAAATAATATTATTCCAAACAGTGTCAATCATAGTACAAAATTGTCAGGTATTTATAGTTTTTAGTGAGAACGAAATCATCATTACAGTCTTCCAATCCGCATACAGGGGGTTATTAACATTATCCAACCGGGAAGCTACACGTTGAATTCTAGAATATTCTTCCGAAAGGTGATTGGATGAGACGTCTTCGGCTCCTTCTGAGCCTCTTACAGCTTCCTCGAGTTCACCGGTGGTCCGTCATCACACATAGTAAACATTCATTATCTCTAGCTGAAACGTGACGGACTGTATGTATTATGTGGACAGATCCACCAATCAGTCTGGGTTGTTGCATACGAAATCTACGACCACTTTTGAAAAGATTTCAGCTCGCTTGAACAGCAGTATTCACAATCATTGCAGACATGTTTGTATCGTATACTTTCGTTTTTCGAAAATCTGAGTGCAAACCTGCTTGTTGATACTCTAAACAAACCAAACGTGGGCTAAAATGGAGCTTCTGGTTATAAGCAATAAGTCACAGAGTGAGAGCATGCTGGGGTTGTAAGTCAAATTAGTTAAAGAATTTATTGCGGTAAGACAGATTTAAGTGTACAATATAATGCAAAATTTGTGAACAGAAAACAGAAATATATGAAAAAGCAAATTGACCTGTTATGCTCTATGAACATGTAGTGACATTGGACCCTAACCACACGACTTTTGAAGCCGAACATATAATAACTGAAAAGACTTATATTCAACAGTTGACACGAAGAGATGGTTAACTATGGAGAACGTGGGAACAGTAATTCAGTTCATCGGATGGCATGACTCAGCCTTTCAATCGTGGTCACTCTTGTGTAACATTCCTCTTTTATTCATATTAAGTATATTGTTCAATCTCCAGCCAGTGTTCTTTTGGGACGCCACTCATACGGCTTATTGTCACGATACAATGAGTTAGTGTACACAATCATGTGACTTTCACTTAAGATCTTATAGATCAGGTTGTCATCTACAATTATAGGATTAGGTCTATAATTGGAGCAGTGCTAAAAACGAAGTTGACCATAATTCTACAACCCGTCGTATGTCACGTGACAAAACCGCCGATCAAAACACAAACTTATATGGTCATATCCATGAGCAAAACCAAAGATGCGTTAACCAGCACGACCAGCTTTGAGTCAGCCCTGAACCCTAACGGATCTAATCACATTAGTTTCCCGCATAACTCAGACTGTTCATTCCAGAACACAATTATCGACGCCCGCTATATGAATCGTATATATCAAATGTGCGTGTTTTATACATATGTAGACCAGACCGCATTTTATATTTAGAACCAAACTAATAATTATACAACATCAAGTCAAAAGTGGCTGTGAATATGAGAAACTGTAACCAGTAAATTAGGAATAAATCAAGAACATATATATATATATATAATCACTTAAAAATTGTTTGATAAGAATATGTGTAATAGTGTTCCATAAATAATTCCTAGCATTTACAACTCAAGAACCAAACTGAATGTGACAACTTTAAAAATAACTTTGACGGAGTTTTCATAAATATATTCCGGCAAAAATAAAAGGGTGTTCCATGTTGTGTAGAAAAGTAAACATAGTCTTAGTTATAAATTGAGGAGAGTGAGACTTCCAAGCTTTCTATGGAGAACAGGGGAATAAATACAGTAAATGAATCAAAATTTGCCAAATGAGAATGAAACATGGCACAATCAATAATCTCCTAATAACGAGTGCACATGATTGACAATGAAAGCGTTTGATTATCAAGGGAATATATATATTTACACAAATGAGTACTTTTGCATGCTAGTCGGGTCAATCAGATAAACCTCCTCCCTCATTTTCACACTTTTCGCTCAGTAGCCCGTTGGAGTCTTGTATATGGGGGTTTTTGTGTCGGTTTCTACATCGAATATTTCGTGTCATTTTGACAATCATTCCTCATGAAGTCACTCAGTGATCTGTCAATGATGCGAAATTGGAAGAGGTTAGCCAGTAGTCTCCATCACACTGGACTATGGTATTACCAGTTTAAGGTGTTTGTGGGGTTATTTATTGGAGTAAGTTATTCACCACTTCATCGATACCACAAAGCTGAGAATCCTTTTCAATCGGGTGTTACTGATATACTGAGAGCACACAAAATCCAGATTTTAATCCAAAATTTATTTCCGTATTTCACCTATCTTATTTCCTTGTTAACTAACGCACATAAAGTCGATAATTATATATGAGGGAACTCTGGATCTATATTTCGTTAACAACATAACACGATAAAATCAGAGAAAAATCAATAAGCTTCAAAAGTTCAGATTGTACACAAAGTAAACTTTATAAAAATATCGTAAGTATACATAAACAGCTTAAGGAATGATTTATTGTTATGACATCTTACAACTCATTGTTTTTTGTTGTACTTTTAATTTTCTTTTAAAATACCAATCCCTAGTTTTGACATGGCTACGACACGTAACTTTTCAAAACAGTAAATAAAAATTGAATTTAGATAGGCGACAGTTATGGATATCGATAGCAGCAAATATTACATTGAAAGTAACATTTTGTCAATTTTTATAAATATGAACTGCTCAAAGGCGAACAGATTCCTGAAGATGACAATGCATCTTCTTTAGTATCGGTTAAAATCGAAGATTTACCAGATACATTGAAAGATGATGAACTTGATCCGCTTGTCTTGAGAGTCAAGGAGACGATAAAAGACTCAGAAGCAAAAGTAGTTTCAAAATTTTAAATACCGTGGTTTAGGAAAGGTTTGATGGACTATCTACTGATGTTCATTCTCAAGTTTCTCCTCCATCTGTTGATCAGTTTTTCCGTAATTACTTACAAAACAATGGATTTCTTGAGACTCTTAATGTTTTTCAAGCAGAATGGTTTGATATTTTCTCGAGTTCGATTTTTAGGTTCAAGTTCTTGCATAAAGGTTTATTGAATAAAGAAGCTGCCCTAGTTCCTGATATTTATATACAGAACGATGAGCTAAGAAATGTGATAAAAGATATAAGATCAGAAAATCTGACTTTGAAAAATTCAGTTTTGTAATTTTAAGCATCCGAATAACAATTATTTATTCCCGTATAGGAAGCTAAGTGATGAGTTGAAAAAAGTTAAGAATGAACGAGATTATCACATGATCAAGCACAGACAGACGTTACAAGATAAAGAGAAGCTACACTGTGATATAAAAAGGTATACAGTTTAGTCTCTAACCATTTTCGACATCTTAAGCACTTTGTATAACACTTCATTATCTTTCGTGTAATAATCCTTGTCTTCTTCAAGCACTACTGGAATTTATATGATTTTCTGACCTTAAGCACCTTCTCATATAGAGCTTAATTTCTTAGACATGATAAACCTACATGGAAATAAAACTCTGTTCACAAAAGATATCAAACTAATCAGTCCTGTCAAGATGTTATTTACTGGTAAATTTAAAACTGTGTTTCATGGTTAACTGATAGCAAAAAGCTCCATATGCAACGGTCCATTGTTCGCATTACTATAGTGCTGTGTTTTTTCGTACGTCATACATTAAAGCAGTAGTACTAAAATGTAGGGTTCATCAACCATGAATCAAACTTTGTCTGCCACAAATTTACGAATTTAATAAACAGGGATTAACCATATGGCTATACAGTTCACTGCTACAGTAAAATGTAAGAAAACAAGGGATTTCGGGGGGCAGTTCCAATTAGGTCTGGATTGTAATGACAGTAAATTCTCTACGGCATCTCTATTTCTGATTCGAAACCTGAGCGTTCATTTCCATTTCCTAGCCTGCATTATTTCACAACTTATCCCACAGGTAAGCCATAAATCTTAACTACATCTGAATAACTTGAATTTTTTGATCAAAATAGTATAAATACTACTTGTAATATAAGTTTGACTTTGAGCATATTTTAAAACCATGTGTATGGCAAATGATATAAATTGCTGTAGTGATGAACTTTATACACAAGAATTCATCAACAGCACCTCAAACTAGAATCAGAACAGATTTTTGCTATCTAATCGCCCTAGATGTTTACTTATTCTCTTGCTCTGTTTCCATTAAGGTAGCGCTTGACACAGATATGCGTTGGTTCAAGTTGCCATGCCAAATTGGCACAATGAAATGAGTACCGAAAGCGATCGAAATAATATAGAAGCTATGATAATTATTAAAACTAAGGACTGTAAATATAGTTCGTAAAGACAGATTGAAATGGTATTATTGGAAAAAATGCTGGGACTTAGGATCAACGATGATAAGAGGCGAATACGTTTGAACCACTGAGAATGATTCTGAGTCATGTCATCCGAAATTTTCAACTCATAACCGCAGTGACCACGTGGGTCCCAGATAAGTAGTTTGAATTTACAAGTATATCTGTCTCCAATAGTTAATAAATCCACAGACTGATACAATAACTTAGTTTTCCATCTTTGGTTTACTCTCAACCTACGTCCTAACCAGCAACATCTTTTGTATAGGTAGGCGATGGCTGGACATATTTAACACATGTCTTAACCACCTCAGTAAATAAACATTCACAATCTGACCATTTGTTGCCTTTACCTAGTACCTTGCATCTAATATCAACATTACTCACTTGATCATTCCACTAAACACAAGCAATGCTTTGAAAACAGCTGCGATCAAGCATCTCCAGCCCATGAGTTTCTTCTACATCTGTAGACCGTGCTTCACAACTAAAAAGCGGTATACACTCTCTTTAGTTGGATGAATGTTACCCTACCTACTCCACAAGAGAATTAAGTTCCTTCCTAAATACTAGCTTATTATGAGAATCTCTTCTAAACTAAAAAAAGTTAAATGTAACAATCAATTCATAAAAATCTTGGTTTGTAATTGTTGTTTTAACTTTGGTGTTTTCAAAATTATTAATTAGAGTAAAAGAACATTATGCCGAATATGAGCCAATTTTAAGATTATTAAGACAAAAATATGAAACAGCAATGAAAGAAAAAACGTTACATAGAATTGAACGAGACAAAGCTATGAACCAAGTTGAAGGACTTCGACATGCTTTAACTTCATTACAAAAATTAGGCATAACGTCTAATGATGCAAACGATATTGAAAATGTTGATCTGGATCATAAAATAACTGAGAAAAGGTTGGAAAATACAACAAGTAGACAGAATAAAAAAGAAACTGATCAAAAGTGTAAAAAGAATTATATGAGATCAGAAAAGTTTAATATCCAAACTAAACTGGATCATAATTTGAAAAGGGTAAGATATTTATAGTTGGTTTTTGAGAAAAACTTTCGTTTGATCATAAGATTAAATAAACATACATATATGAATTGTCTTGCAATACATAATGCCCGTTTATAGAAACTGATTAATGAGAAAATATTCAAATAGATTATATGTTTTTAAGAAGTGAACTATTACTCTACTTTTCACTCCTTTATTGATTTTCTTTAACAATTTTATACGTACGGACTCAATTTGAGTTCTATTTCAGTTATTTGGACGTTTTGATAACTATGTGTTGCATAACCCAGAGATAAGTCAAAATATCTATGAACATTGGTTTATTGAATTGAATGGTGTAACAGAGATGAGTAAATGAATGTAATCTAGTACAGATTTAAATAATGATCAAACCAGACTCTAAAGTTGGGAAGAATTGACGTGGTGCACTTTATCAGTTTATTATTTATTGCCAATATGAAACCTAATACATGTGTAAATTAACTCTAACTTGATATATTCCATGCCTTTTGGGTTTTCAGTGATTATTTAACTCTAATCATTTCGAGATATCAAAAAAAATAAAGTAAAATATTAAACTCAAGCCATATAGTTTGGAAAGAATAAGTAAAATCTATGAATAGAAGGCATAAGTTAATAGTAAAATTAAAATTGAATCAATTGATCCCAGTTGTAAGCTTTGATAAAACTATCAGAAGACAACGGTGACCTAGTCACCTACAAAGTAGGACGACGCACATATATGCATCAGTTCAAGTTGCTACACCTCATTGGAACAACAAGATGAACACCAAATTCATAAAAGTAGTCACAAAAGTAGTTATGTATAAAAGAAAGATTGTGTTTAAAGATATAGTACAGATAGAAAGAATTAGTTTGTAGAAAGAAAGATATAAATGTTGGTGTGATACAGAAAATTTCTCTCAAACGACAAGCAAGGATCAGGAAACATTAAGAAGCATTTCATTTAATTAGCGTTCACTTTAAGTTTTAGCCAGAAACATCAAGGAAGTGAAACGTCACATGTAGAGGTTTTGATTAGCTGATTGCCATACTGTTACTATGTTTAGTAGCATTCCAGAATCTTCGAGCAAACCAAGGGTATTTAAAAATATTATAAAAACCCTATATTTTCTGTATTAAAATTAACCTTTGGAGTAAAGTACTTGCAGACTTTGCGCTTTTTCTCTGGTGTTCAGATCGCTGCATAGTTCTAGCTTGGGGGTTGCAGAATAGCTTGGGAAACGAGTATAACGTTCAATTTGCAAGAATTATCGATAAAGCAATTTTAATCTCACTGTTTAAGTGAAGACAATGATTGTAAACATCTACGCCATTGCGGCCGATTCTGAGCCATGTCACCCAGAGTCTCCAACCATTGGTTACGATAGTCATGTAGAACCCAACCAAGTAGTCTGCTTCTACCTAGTTGACTCGGAAGAAGATGACTTATTTATACCGATACATTTTGAACAATCTGGTCAGATACATATTTGTCAAGATATTTATCAATAAAAAACTAATGAAGCCCACTTAAGTAAAAGATCGAATAAACGTAAATTGGTAATTGTAAATTAATGAGAGAAGAAACAATATAATATGGAAAGCATAAAAAGTTTTCACAGCATCTTCATCTATATAATGACTTGAAGAGTATCACGGTGCCTTGACGAGTATGTGTATGATCAGATGATTCAGAATGTATAACACTAATACATCATCAAATTCATCCTCTGATTGGTTTCTCAACATAAAACTAAAGATTTGAAAAAAAAAGAAAGAAGCATAAACGCATATATACAGCTGAAGACGATATGAACTTATGTCATTTATGGTTTTCAAGCAATTTTAATTTTATTGTGTAGATTAAATCTGGGCGTCTGTACCTTCCAATAAAACTCAGTTTTTGATTGAGATCATGAACCGATTGACGTTAGACCATTTTTGGAAACCTGGAAGCACTGGATGGTCGTTTCGTCCTATTGTGGGACTCCTCAGCAGTGCGCATCCACAACCCCGCTCGCGGGATTCGAACCCATGGTCTTAGGTCTCGCGCGCGAATGCTTAACCTACTGGACCACTGATCCGGCATCCAGCAGTGATAGTGTCTAATATCAACCAATCCACGAAATTGCACGACCATCTTCCATTGTACTGAGGTAGATACATGTCTCTACCCGATATGGATTACCTCCACTGGTCACGGCTTCTCACTAGAACTCTGAGAATTCACTCACGAAGCTAGTCACTAGTGAGCACATGTTGATTACTAGTATAGGGGTTGTAGAGGTTATTAAGTTTTTGGTTGAGACCGAAGGCCTTGGGTTCGAATCCAGCGAGCGAGATCGTGGATGCGCACTGCTGAGGAGTCCCACAATAGGACGAAACGGCCGTCCAGTGCTTTCAGGTTTCCAAAGGTGGTCTAACATCAATCGGTTCATGATCTCAATCAAAAACTAATTAATCTCCACAAGCCCTATACTAGTAAAACTCAGTTTGACAGTCAAAAGTCTCGTTAATTAATGTGATTTATTAGTTTGATCAACTCATTAGTTTCTTTGTTTACTTGTAAGCTAACCACAGTTACATATTCAGTGGTGTTGTGAATTGTTATGTATAATATATGTTTCTTTGTTTATCGAATTATAGTGAATTGTAGTGAGTGAAGTGAATAAACTTCTTTTACATATTAGTTTTTGAAGATATTATCCTCTGGATTTTCTAGGAGTTTTGAATGTACACCTTTCATTCGTTTACATGAGTTCTGTAAACTTGTTAGCATATTCAGAAAAATATCCCCAAAATTATCCTGTTAAGTCTAATGCTATCCTTGAACGTGAAATGGTGTCATTTTCCTATTGGTCAATATTCACGGTAGTCCTAACTGTATAAATATGCACTTGTCTGTAAAGCATCATTCCTTTTCCTATCCCTATTCTTATTTTTCTCCTGACCCCATAAACAATTTTTATCTACGGTTCGTGTTCTGATATATTGGAGATTGAGGAACAGTATTGAAGTCGTATTGGGATATCTGAAGTTGGTCAGTCGGTAGAAATTAGAGTAGTCACCCCGCGGTCCACAGTAAAACTACAGCCAACATGTTGCATGGATTAGATGTTATAAAACTGAATGAAACTATGCTTTTGTTTTCTTTTTCTATGTAGTACTAGATAGGCGTGTACTCAGAGATATATTTGGAGAGCGAACATTGAGTATTGGATATAGTTATTCAAATTAATGGTTACACTGTTATTTGATCTATAGAATTCTAATAATAACTAATGATAAGTTCGCGTTTCTTTAGCGAGTTAGTTTTCTGAGGGATGTGGTCGCTAACCCCATGCCTAACCCTTCTCCTTTACCCGGGCTTGGGAGTGGCAGTAATTCTAGAAGAGCTACAGGAGGAGTTATTATTTTCAGTACAATCAAGTTAATAACAACCTGAACCAAATTACTAGGATTTCTGTCATATAAAAATTCTACCCCGAAATTCATTCACGATTGTTTTTTTTTTTGAGTATTTCTACCAACAGGACTTACGATTTGAAAAGATAATTTAGATAGAATGTTTTTCTGTTTCACAACACTCTTGATGAAATCCCTTTAAATACTTGTGTTTTAACTTTATGTCCGGCTTTTTATCATGTGATTTATCCACCAAACAAAAAACGACTTATACAATCTTTGCACTGTGCCAAACCAATGACGTTCGACCGGTATGAGCAGCCTAGCGTCCTTATTGGTCCTATGTCCGCGCAGCCCGTTCACTTGAGTCCAGAACACCAAATACCAGCTTCCACTATGCGAATCGAATCGAGTCATTTATTGCAAACATACTGGGTTTATATATCAAACAAAAAGACCGAAACGCACCATAAAATAGGAAATAACATTCATACACAATAAAGCCAAAAAGTGGTTATGAACGTGGGAGGCCGTAGTCAATAAACTGAACATAGATTAAGAACAGTAAGTCGTACAATAATACATTATAGGTCAAATTAAAGCTTATAACAAGGGAAATATAGATATTCATATTCTAGTTACTGAATATTTATGCCATGAGAATATATAAATAATAATAATAAGCTTCAGACGTTACTCGTAATGTAGTCTTCACTAGGATATAACAACTTGTTTATAAAGGATATCCTTTTACAAGAACATTTTTTCGCTTTTCATCATGTTAAACATTCCAAAACTCTAAGTTCTTTTTTAAAATGATATTTGAAATAAATTAAATTTCATTTCAATGCATCGACCTGATAGGTCCTGGGTTCGGATCCCAGGAATGGAACCGTAAGTGGGCACTGTTCAGGGAGTCCCATTATAACATATCTACAAGTTAAATTAACTTAATGTGCATCATTCATTGTGTTCACTGATTTGTCTGCATACTGTTTATCGTCTTTTCTATTGTTTTTCTACTTGAAACCTCAGAACTTTAATCTTTTTGGGTAATTAACATCTTAATAGTTGAACTCATGAGTCAATTTAAGCTAGACCGCTATGGAAAACCTCGAAACACTGGACGGCCATTTCGTACTAGTATGTAATTCCTCAGCAGTGCACATCCACGATCCACGACCATTATGTGCTCACTAGTGACTGGCTTCAAGATGATTTCCTGGAGTTATGTGAATAATACATGAAAAGTAATAATTATGTGAATTTTGGACAGAGAGAATAAGTGGAATTATTTAAAAATGTGTTTATTCGTAAAAAACATGCTGTAGACTCAATGTTCTGATTTGCCATAGACTATTTATTTATATTCATATCTACCAGCTGATGGTGCATACACGTTAACTGCAAGTATCAAGTTTCGAATAAGTTAGTTACAAATAAAGTGATTGAGAATTGCTGGAACTGACTAGTGAGAAGCCGTGACCAGAAGAGTTCAACAATGTCTGTTGTGAGATATTAACTTACTGAAGACAATGGTAGACAGTGGCACAATTTTGTGGATTGGTTAAAGTTAGACATTAACACCATTGGATGCCAGCTCATTGATCAAGAGGTGAAGCGTTCACACACGAGACCGATAGGTCCTGAGTTTGAATCTCGCGAACGCGTTCGTAGGTGTGCACTGATAAGGAGTCCCGTACTAGGGACGAAGTAATGATACAATAAACCATTATTATTGTATTCTGTGATCACTAAACGCACAATTCTCTTTTTTTTGTTTTATTTCCTTAGATTGGATTTTGTGATTTATCTATTGATTATAAAGTGAATCCATTATTGGCTAAACTTACAAATCATTCATATAAATTTACACGATTAGATAGTAGAAAATTAGATATGAGTATACATGCTCATAATGCTGCTATTAGCAAGTAAACTTTATACGAAAATAACTTTTAATTTTCTTTATTGAATATTGATAAACACACAGTTGGTGAAACTATAATTTATGGATAACCTTTGTGGGACGTTAGACTGACCTTGAGAGTATCCACTTAATGACGCTAGTCGCTGTTATCCAACTTGCGTCCAACGTGTTTCACTGATCCAAAGTACCTCTACCACATTGTACGAGTATTCCATGTACCTAACTAAATGGTTGCTCTGATTGTCAGAAGGGGCATCGGCCTCGTGACTTCCAAAGGAACTCGGCTTTCATCATGAGGCGTCGTAATTCTTCTAACTGAAGACCTTCCGACTCCCAGAATAGAGTTTAAAAGGTTTGAATAATTTTTTCTGGTTGACGTTTTTTCAGTGAGGTGGTCGCTAACCCCATGCCTAACCCTGCTCCTTTATCCGGGCTTGGGACCGGCAGTAGCCCCCGGAGGGACTTCACTTAATAACCAGGATCAAATGAGGATTATCAACCCAGTATGAAGAAATAGAATTATGATTTACAGTTATTGGTTAGGGTTAGTGAATTAAATTTAGAGTTTTCATCATGAATTGATATCAGCTATAATACCAAAACTCTATTTATCCAAATGGATGAATGAATTTCGCTTGAAAATATATGATTTGTTATCTTATACCTGATTGGTTCGTCCATAAATTCTAGTCTCATCATCCAGATCTTTTTATTGATCAATAAAGCAAAGTAGGTTCTGGATTAAATGTACTTACTTACTTACTTACTTTCTTACGCCTGTTACTCCTCGTGAAGGAACATAGGCCGCTCACCAACTTTCTCCATCCAACCCTGTCCTAGGCAATCCTTTCCCTGGATTAAATGTGTATTGCTGCAATTCCGCACGTATGGAATCAGTATAGAGTTCACAAATCTGGATAATTTAAAAGCGATCGATAATTAGTTGGTTCATTGAACTATGTTGTAAAAGACTGAGTCCCGTGTAACTGTTAAGTTTAATCTCAATGATCAACATTTATTTATTTTACATGTTTTCAAGTAGTAAAGAAAATATGTGAAAGGAGTGAACAGAAATAGAAAATGAATTAAAAGGATTTATACAATCGTGGTTAAGTAAAAGATAAAGATCTTACAAGCTTCTTTTGAATCGAAAGACTAGATCTGTTAACTCGAATCCTTATCACTTTCCATTTATATAAGTGATGAGATTAGTCTTGATTGTGAAACATTCGAAGTATTTAGTAGGTCACTCTATCTGAAGATCACTTTATGTAGCACATGATCAATATATGTGGTGTGTACTACTGATATCGACAGATATAAGTAGTATGTGTCATCAATCAAAGTGAAATACCTGGTGGCAGATGGTTAAGAAGATCGAAGGAAAGAGAATAACAACAGAGAATGATTCATGTGAAAATGAAGGAACAATCAAGTCTGAGAGGAATTATTGTCGTTTTGCAAATAGAACAGTCAAGTATGGGACAGTTAATTGACATTCTGTATTTTCAATTCAAATACATTAGGTTATCCCACTTGTGTTTGCGTTCACTATATATCGACTACGTGTCAAAAACTGGAACTTCGTATTAATTCCATCCTTTGACGTCCAAATAATTTGAAGAAAATTTCCACTCTTTCGTTGGTGTCAAAACTCATTTCGGTTTGCCTCATACCCTCACGTATGTCGGACGAAAACATGATGATGATCTAATTGAAATCAATATTATTTACTGATGCTGTAACGAAAAACGTTTATTCACGTAATTATCAAAGAACCTTTGATCACTTACTCAATGATCGAAATGTTTAGTACTAGTAATTAAATTTGAAAGTTTCACATTCCATTCCATATACAATTATGGATAAGTACTACTGGAAAGTGTCTCGATATACGATCAAATATATATCTCTTCATATACGTATTACTGTGAAGAAAGAAGAACCAATAACGGTGATTTGGGTATAATAACGTATATTTATTTCATTAGATTATTATCATCTGTTCAAAACGTAAAGTAATTGGATTTGGAAATAATGGAGGACACAATTTAACATAGTGTACAGAAGATCACAGATAAAGTTTTCCTTTATCTATCTTTGTTCAAATGCCTTCGTATGGCCAAGGGTGAGGAGGAGCCTACTTTTCATCTCCAAATGCTCTTAAATGGGCACAAGTATACAGCCACTGCCACGGAAGTCCTACTCACTGCCTTCCCACGGCATTACTATCGTTTACGATATTGAGAGGACAAAAAAACGAATGTCCAGCGCTTTAACCTGGTTGATAGATATAGAAGATCCACCTAGGGAAATTGAAAAACCCTGATTCCAAACCAATGATGTACGTGGGCTCCAGAATTCTGAAGGAACAAATGGCATATGAAACAATCTCTGGTCACCGGCTAACATGGGACTGTATTTCCTTACGTTGCTTCACTGCCTTGTGGATCGGTTTTTTAGGTCGAACGGTCGGGGTGTAGCCCCCTACGAAAAGAATCTGCTTCGACTTGGGCACCCGAGCAGTATCCCAGCCCACACACAAATCAATTGATTTATTTGGCGCATATGCATTCGGTACCCCTTTGTACCAATATTTATATGTTCAAATAGAATAAATTCACCTTAATTCATTTTAAATAGTAAACACTCTTTGTATCTATGTACTAAAATTCAACTTTAGATTAGCTATTCATTCAAATAAATCATGGTTATGTTCAGTTGGTGATGATAAATTATGGAAATTGTGGAAAATTCCAAAATTAGAATTATTAATGGAATATAAACTAATAACAAATGATTGGATATCATCAATTGATTTTCATCCTAAAGAAGAAATATTAGCAACAGGAAATGCTCAAGGTTCTATTCAAGTGAGTTCTTTCTTCTCATAGTAAATGCTCAATAACTTTAATTCATTTGTATCTGTTGTTTGAATTGTTTCATGATGGACTGTAAGTGATCAATCTCTATTGATATATGAGTATCGTGTATAGACTACTACGATAACACCTTAAGTCATAGGTTGATGAGTCCCAGATCTGATGAAACGAGCGTCGGAGATTCCACTTTTAGTCACCATTTATATCTGTTCAATAGCCTTTATATGATAATGAACTTATTATCAGGTAGTAATATGTATTGACCTTCATGCTGAATAGAGTGAGTTGATAAGTTTAAGAGCACGATATCGAAGATGACTAAGTTTCAATGTTGAATAATTAGTTAGTAGTCTGTTACATGTTTATAGAAATGCTTTTCCACAAAATCAATAGGATTATGTACTTTTTGTATTGGTTGTTTGGATCTTCTCACTGATGTTTAGGTTAGCAATTGATCAGTCTCTTATTGGGATATGGGCATCATATACGGATCATCATAATCTCTGCTTATAATGTTGCCAAGATTGTAGTCAATGTGAAATGATGCATGGTACAGTAGTAACAAATAACACAGGCTAAAATTTATAGATACTTTGAATCATTTTCAGTTTAGTTATGTGACTGGATGTTTCTATAGACGAGTGATTGTATGTTTCGTATGGGTTTTTAATTATGATGAAACATCGTTTGATTGTTGTTTGGTTTTGTCAAGTCATTTAGTAAAACCATGAATTTTCACCGACTGAATTGTCAGGGATATATGTTACATATTCTAAACAATAGTTCATCTCAATGTATAATCTTGGCTAGTTAATAAACAGGATGGTAGAAAGCTAGAAGTGGATAAAATATACTACTACACTAGTCTATAGGATAATCGACAAAACAACACAGTTAAGTTTGTTTACGTTCTCTGTCCTTATTCATTTCCCTTCAACTCTTTTGTGTATTGTTTTATACTACTTATTAATATTCAGTAAATAGTTGTATTCCTTGAAATGCCAACGCGTATATTGTGAAGTAAGTTTGTCGTGTAATATTCTGAGATACTGAGATGTACCGATAACATTTATTGTATTTATCATTATAATTAATTTCTCTCGATCCTTGTAGCAGTTTTTCACAATGCCGTATGGCGGTTTAATCCTTGTTTAAACGCAACGATTTCTATAGTGTTTGCTCTTGGTTCTGTTTTTGCTTGTTGACACACTGTTATCAACATTAGACACCACTAACAACTGTCATTTGCACAGTCGAAGCCCCTATTTATTTCAGAATTATAGACATGCCAAGCAACACAGATAATTCACAAGTTGAGGACCGCTTTGTTGCTTTGTGAACTTCGATTCTGAGCCTTTATCTTAATAATGTGATCGGACGCTTCGAAAGATTTAACGGAAATTATTCTTATGTAACCAGATCCCTTGATAAATTTAAACTGAGCAACAAGAAAAATCACTCTTTCAGGATCAAATCAATTCACTATAAATTCACTACTTCTCATTAGCTGCCAGCGGTTTGAATGTACAATTATTGATATACTTATCAATAAATGTTTTACATAATTAGTGTAGTTTGTATGAATATTAGAAACATAACCAAAAGAAATTGTTATGATGTGAAGAACTGAACATAACAGTACAACGTAAGGTGTTGGGTGGAGGTGATGTTCTAGTTACGATGATCAACAGAGGATTATGTAAACGTAATACACAACAGGATTAGTATTTGTATATCACTAAGATTATGTATGAGATAAAGAGGTTAGAAAAAAATTAAAAACAGTTTTTTTCACGAGATAAGTAGTAACTTGGAATCCTGAAGGGAAGCCGAAAAGAGGAAGGTCAAAGAACACATTACGTCGGGAAATAGAAGCAGATATGAAAAGGATGAATAATAACTGAAAAGAGCTGGAAATAATTGCCCAGGACAGGGTTGGATGGAGAGTGCTGTTGGACGGTCTATTCTCCTCCACAAGGAGTAACAGGCGTAAGTAAGTAAATATTGACAAAAAACGATTATTATCAGAAGGGGATTTTGTGGAGATTTCAGTAGTTTAATAATTGAATTCATGAATTAATTGAAGCTATACCACCATGGAGAACCTGGATGCACTGGATCACTGATTCGTCCCAGTATGGAACTTCTCAGCAGTGCCGCGTTCACGTCGTCGCGCACGGGGCTCGGCGCCAGGACCTATCGATCTACGCGCCCAGACTTTAGGCTACAGAGCTAGCCTGCATCCAACGGTGTTAATGTCTAACTTCAATCAATGTGTTCAAATAAATAATATACTGATGATTAAGAAAGTTTTCTAAAAACAATTTATCATCTACTTTAAGACTTCTGTTGTATTAATCAAGTTGTTAATAGGGTCAATAAAAATGTTATAGAAAAACTCTTCCATACTAAACCCTTATTTATTTAAGCGACACGTTTTTACTATCATTTCAATATTTATAATACTCGTTAAATGATATAATCATGAACTGTCATTGTAGCTTAATACTCATCAGAATCCGGTAACATAACTTCTTCAGTTTCTCAAAGCAAAAGAAGAGTTTCATTGTTGAACCTTAAATTCAATATGCCGAAACTCCCTTATGAAAATCCCTATGAACTCCAAATTGATTATGGATATTATTTGTTTTTAATAGCATTAGTCCTGGAACACAATCCTAGTTGACATATTAGTACAGTGTGAGATATACGGATTAACTAGGTTTAAAATAGTCAAATCAAAGTAGTGTTTTAACATCGTTATTGAAATCTATTTGAAAGGGATCCAGTGAATGATTTGAAACCCTACTGTTTACAGTTCTTATTGTCATCAAATGGAATATTTACAATGTTCTGTGTCAGAGAATAATAGTGTGATCAGAGGTTAAAAGGAGAAGAACTAATAGGCAACCTAACTCCACACTATTTATAGGTATGTATGTACACAATAAAGGGCTGAGACTGACAATATATTACACGTAGTCTGTAAGTACTGAAGAAGTATTAATGGTGAGACTATAATTTATGGACAACATTTAAGCGATGTTAGAGGGACCTTGAGAGTATCCACCTACTGACTACGGCTGAATGAAAGTTCTAAACCAGTGTGAGGAATTAGAATTATGATTTCCATTTGATGTTTCCTCACGAACTGACATTATTTAAAATGACAAAACGTTATTTAGCCAAATGGATAAAGAATTTCTCGTTGAAATCCAAGATCTATTACCGTAAATCTTATTGCTTCGTCCATAAATTATAATCTCGCTGTATTAGTAGTAAGTAAAGTAATAAGTAAACAGTTTATAACTGCATAACAATTACTTACATTATTAAGTTGTTCATAGTTCATCAACTTTAAAGATAGTTTAAGTCAAATTTACAAGTTCGGTTATCATTTCCTATGCTTTGGTTTCAGGCATTTTAACAGCATTACTAGCATTTACAGAACATTGTTAGTGAAGATTCTAATTGAGGATTAGGGTACTGATTACGATTTCCAGTTTCGAAATCAACATTAATAAACAGAAATATAAAGCTGATAAGTTCCAAATAGTATGTAACTTGTATTCTGGATTCTATCGACAGAATGGGCTTGAACATTAGTCTTGGGAAACAACATACTTTGAAGCAACAGATATATATATATTACGGCTGTTACACCTCGTGGAGGAACATAGGCCGCCCACTAGCATATATATATGTATATATATTCATAAATGTTAAATTCTATTTCAGATATGGAAAATTGACCTTATCGATGACAAAATATCGGAACAGAATCATTGTAAACGTATTGGTATTTTACGTCAGCATACTGGAGCTGTTTGGTCTGTGAATTGGCATTGGACTGGTACTTATTTAGCTAGTTCCGGTATGGATAATACAATACGTCTATGGAATGTTGAACACGCTATGATGTCATTTAAAATGAATAAAGATTTATTAAGCACACGTTCTGCAACATCATGTTGTACAATACTTAGAGGGCATAGTAAATCAGTGAATTCTATTCAATTTTTACCTTATGGAAATATTTTAGTTACTGGTTCATCAGATAGAACAGTGTGTTTATGGGATGGTCGTTCGGTAAGTAACACTGTTTCGTTGGCTTTTACTAAAGAATTTGTTAATTAAATATAAGTGCATATTGAGATGGTAGGGAAGATTTGTTGCTCAGGTGGATGATTTTGGTCTCTGAGCTGTATGGTTTAGTAATGAAGGTTTCATCGTTCTTCTGAACATCAATAAACAATCAAGATCGAGGGTCACACAATGTCTTTATTAGATGTCTGGATTACAGCTAACAATCGTATACGAGACAGGGATATGGTCTCTTTTTTTATTTATTACCTAAATGTTATTGCATATCAGTTGACTTTTATAGTAAGTACTAACAGAATCATGGGAGTGCACATAATTAATGAATTCCAAATAGGATGAAAATTTTGTCTTGGATTTCACTGCTTGCCCCTTCCCTTCCTGCCAAACAAGTTGGTGAAGCCTATTAGGCCCTTCTGGAGAGAAACAGGCCACATCAAAGCACGGCACAACTACCGAGGCTAGAATAGTTGTTTTTGCAATCCTTTGGAGTTTGCCCAATGACGAGCAACTCCATATGATACATGCACCACTTTCGGAAATTTTTTGTCGTTTTCCATTCCAAATTTAATTGTGCTATGTTTCTCTGTGGGTTTCGTAATTGATTGATGGGTATAGGTAAGAGTGGGTGATTAGCCCGATTTCCACCACCTGGGTTACCGCTCACGTTAGTTCATGAGTTATTCGTCTCATTATGCAGGAGGCACGATGCGGACGTGTGAGTCGGATTTTGCCTCTCCCACTGCTTGCTACAGTCCTTAAATATCATCACATAGGTTTTAAGACTATCATTGTCTGTTTAGATAAAAACTTCGAATTGCACGTTATCTCCCTGATATTAAAGTAAATTGAATTAACCAGTAGACAACTGTACTAATATAAAACCATAGGTTCAAAGATCAGGTTGGGGAAGAGAACAGTCAATCAAAGTTATTGACAGCAATTAATCTAAGTTTACATCTACAAAACAAATTATTAGCCAATTATGTTTCCGTTTCTGTAAACTTTGCGCTATACTTCAGGAACTCGTTGAGTGCCTTCAACGAAATAGGTTGTGGTGAAATTCTTTGAATTAATTACTTTTCAGCGTTTGTTGTTACTGAGGAATGAAAATCAAAGATTCGATATTAAAATATTCAGCTTAGATACAACAATATCACAAAAATAACAATATACAAGGAATATATATAAGTCTTCTAAATGAAAACCTTCTAATTCCCAGGGCAGACTTTAAATGGTTTGAATTTTTTTTTCCGGTTAGCGTTTTTTTAGCGAGTTAGTTTTCTACGGGATAGGGTCGCTAACCTCATGCCGAAGCCTCCTCCTTTATCCGCGCTTGGGACCAGCAGTATCCCTAGAGGGGCTCTAGGAGGAGAAATGGAGACAGACATGAAAAGTATCAACAAAAATAGGATATAACTAGAAAGGAATACCCAGAACAGAATGGGTTGAAGAATGCTGATCGGTGATCTATGCTCCAATAGAAGTAACATGCGTAATCAAATAAGTAAGTAATATATCAATCAAGGTTTTCCAGATAACAACTTAGAAACTAGATACCCCTTCGTTTTTTTCAATTATGTAAATATTTGAAAAGAGGATATATTCATTATGATTAGATAGATACTATTCACAGAATAATCAATACTGATATGATCTCAGTGTGTTTTTTCTTTCTTCCATATAACCTAATAGGGTTTATGTGAGCATACATTTCTTGGTCATACACATTCAATCAATTGTGCTATATTTAATCAACAAGGTACCAATGTGATATCATGTGACAGTGGAGGTTTTATTCGATTATGGGATCTTCGTAAAATCAATAATTTCTCATTTGAAACAAATTTACCTACCTTAAAAAGGAAATTGCACAATAATAATAATAATGTGGAGGTGAAATGTTTGCCTACTTGTTTTGATTTGAATAAAACTCGAAAATTTGATCGTTTCAATCATCCTCATCCTCATAAACAACATCCTAATCATCATCCAAATCCTACATCTATACAACATAAACAATTAGAACAACGAAATCAACTTGGAATTAATCAATTAGTTATTGATTTGAATAGTGAATATATTGTTGCTGGTTGTGATGATTCTAAAATTTATTGTATAGAAATATCAACTGGTCAAGTATGTTATCTTTCAGTACATTTTGATGTAACTCTATAATATTAGGAGTAAGTTGGAAGAAAGTTAGGGGCGGCCAGACCAAAACATGGCACAAGTCCATGAAGTCACTGGCAAGTGGACTGAGTCATGTTGATAGGTGTAGACTACCTGGTCGGGATCCGCGAGATGATAGCAACCGATGGTTAGAGACCCTGAATGACATGGCTCGAAATCGTTTACAATGGTGCAGGTGCATACACTCTTTGTGTTCTCCCAAATTTTGATCTCCTTATTCCTCCTTGTCTCTTTTTTCTCTTTCCAAATTTATTTCACTGGATTATACTCGTTGAATAACATCTCCAAACCCTAATCTTACCGATTACTGCTTATACTTTCACTACCTCTACCACTACGGGATATGAAACGATAACTGCATCTCTATGCTAATGTGATGTGGTATGGCAACTCGAACTGATGTACGTACGTACGAAGTTCTACGTTGTTACTGACTGACTGAACTCTATGATAGTCATTCATAGTTTGATAAAACAAATTTTCATGATGAGAGCTTGAAGCGTGGGGTGGAGTCGCGGTTGACTATGATCACCACTACAAGAAGATTGTGTACCAGATATCAGAAGGCGATTGGAAGTTGTAGCGATATATATTTGTTGGCGATCCCGTGGTATCGAGAGAACACCGAGATCGTGCCAAAAGAGTACAAGTGGTATAACTGAACAAATGCAAGTGCGTGCAATTTCACAATCAACGGAAGAATGTCTTTAGTACAGTTAAACAAACAAGTACAGTAAAACAATCACTGATACAATTGGTTATAATAATAGTTGTTTCCACTGAACCAATCGCGTTCTCTTGATAAAAGTAGGTCCTTACCAGCTCCTGCCGGAATTTTAATTTACAATTGTAGAATTCTGAAAGAAGTTAATTGATTTCAACAGACTTCAAACTTGCACTGACTGTACTATTAAACTATACTGTTCACATAGATCATATTTCTTTCATTAGTCAAAGTCAGTTATACTATTGAGTAAATAAAATCTGTTTGATTTAAGTAAGAATAAGTATCTTAAGTGTGTTTAGTTCAAACGATGATAAGACTCGAAATCCTATCTTATTTGTCGGTCAAAGATTATTTGAAAGACTCTTAATTCAATACTTTTCAAGATATTGATTGGATTATTGTTACACACTGGTAATGTATATAGATGGTTTTTATCAGCTGAAGCTAGTCGTTGTTGTTCAACTTGCGTCCAATGTGTTTCACTGATCCAAAGCACCTCTACGTTGTATTTCTTCATTTCTGCAGCAATTTGAAAGACTCTTCCGGTCTCCCACATTACACGAGTATTCCATGTACCTAAATAAATTGTTGCTCTGGTTGTCAGAAGGGGCATCGGCCTTGTGACTTCCGAAGGACCTCGGCTTTCATCATGAGGCGTCATAACTCTTCTCAATGAAGAACTTCTGACTCCCAGGACAGAGTTTAAAAAGTTTGAATGATTTTTTCTGGTTAGCTTCATTTTAGCGAGTTAGTTTTTTTACGGGATGGGGTCGCTAACCCCATGACCAATCCTCCTCCTTTATCCAGACTTGGGACCGGCAGTAGCCGCCGGAGGGACTCTAGGCGGAGTTAATTCTGAATGTATTATATGAAGGAAAAGTTCATGAAATTGCACAGAACTCTATTTTATTACTTATCAAGATTCTGATCATGAAATAGTCAGTGAATCTTGAGCTCATCCATTGAATTCGATGTGACTTTATTTTGATTGTAATAATTGGATAGAAAATTTACACAACCAATTTAGCATGTATCAGAATGGATAGTCATTGAGTGGGGCATGTTTAACGTAATGATGCATACTTTAATCAGTTATACAATATCACTCAACCTTATAGTAGAATGAGAATAATAGTTGAGATGGTGGAGAAAATTTTTAACACATGTGGATGATTTTGATAGAGTTTTGTTCTCTAAACTGGATGGTTTAGTCGTGGAGCTTTCATCATTCTTCTTAATGACATCATCACAAACAAAAAGTCAAACCAATGGAAGATACAACCAAAACAAAGAAGTAAACAATGACAGGCTTAAGTTCAACAAGAGCCAATCAACATTAAGGTCTACAGGAAAAACTGTGAGTCACATGTGGAGAAATTCGAACATTTCACTCCTACCTGAAATATGTACTGATGTTATCATTCAGAAGAACGATGAAAGCTTCACCTCCGAGAACAAAACTTCATCAAAATAATAGTTGAGCACAATGAATAAGTTCATTATATCCATTTAAATCTAATCCTCTATATCTATATATATTATCCATTTTATTTTGGAAATTATCTAGATATCTACATTACAAGGACATGATGATTCGGTTCAATCCATTGTATTAGATTATGAATCAGGATATTTATATTCAGCATCCAGTGATCAAAAGGTATGTTCATGGATCTGAATGAAACACAGAACATTATTTTATTATTTTGATGATTATGCATAAAAGATCATCCTTTTTAGAAACATTTTACAAAATCAACTCAATCATGTAAAAGTTTTTAAATAAACAAATTTTATTTCACAGGGGTTTGTATTTTCCCTCTGTTGTAATGAATAGCTGGAATTAATCAGAGAATTTCAACATTTAACTCAGTAACTCAATGGTTAAAGCGTAACTATTTGAAGTAAAAGTCTCTTAATTTCAGTCTCTGTGTAAATACGAACATTCAGATGTATGTGAATCTGTAGTCGAATTGGGATTACCAATTGTAGCGTGGCGTCGAGTTGAGATCAACTATGAACACCGCTACCAAGAAACACGTGCCAATTAGATCAGAAGGCGTAAGAAGCTCGTTGCAAATGACTCCATAAAATCCCCGAGAAGCCGAATACCAGAAGGCAATTAATGGACCAAGTCGATGTTTATTTGCTGGCGATCTCGTGGCATCGAAAGGATACCGAGATCGTGCCAGGATACAAGCTTGGTTACAGAACGTAACCGAATTCGCGCGAAGTCACAATCAAAGTGTAAGTATAAGAATGGAAGCACAAAATAGCTGTCATTAGCACAGTTAAACAAAAGCACATTAAAACAGTCACTGGTACACTTGGTTATAATAATAAGCGTTTTTATTAAACCAGTCGTGTTCTCGTGATAAACGTGAGTCACTACAAATCCATGTTATGAGTTCCAAATAGGTTAAAACACGAGTGTTTGATTCTACTACTAGCCCATATCCAACTTTACTTAGTCAGCTTTTCTAATCAATCATTGTAATTTAGAGTTGTAATGACACAGATTCACAATATATGTCGCCTGATGGTGGGTTGAATGTAGCATGATCCATGTTTTTGTATTGAGTTTCACCTTACTGAAATGTACAATCGTATCAAAACTATCGACCGGATTATGAAGACCTCGACATCTGAGAGAAAATACGGCATACAATGGACGGCTCAGAACCAATTAGACGATTTGAACTTCGCAGATGACCTAGCCCTCCTATCGCATAAACACGAACAAATGCAGATAAGGACAGCCAGTGTAGCAGCAGTCTCTGCATCAGTAGGCCTCAACATATACAAGGGGAAAACCAAGGTCCTCGAATTCAAAACGGAGAACAGCAGTCCAACCACTCTTGATGGCGTAACTCTGGAAGATGTAGAATCCTTCACATAACTGGGGAGCATAATCGATGAACAAGGAGGTTCAGATGCAGACGTAAAGGCGAGGACTAGCAAAGCAAGGACAGCATTCCTACAGTTGAAGAACATATGGAACTCAAAACAAGTTTCAACTAATATCAAAGTGAGAATCTTCAATACCAACGTCAGGGCACTTCTACAGTACGGAGCTGAAACTTGGAGAACTACAATAACCACCATCATGAAGGTACAGGTATTTATAAGTCGTTGTCTACACAAGATACTCAACATCCATTGGCCGAATACCATCAGGAACAACCTACTGTGGGAGAGAACAAACCAGCTTCCAGCTCAAGAGGAAATTAGGAAACGACGATGGAAATGGATAGGACATACATTGGGGATATTATCAAACTGCCTGACGAGGCAAGCCCTAATTAGGAATCCTGTAGGGAAGCGGAAAAGGGTAAGGTCAAAGAACACATTACGTCGGGAAATAGAAGCAGATATGAAAAGGATGAATAGGAACTGGGAGGATCTAGAAAGAATTGCCCAGGACAGGGTTGGATGGAGAATGCTGGTGAGCGACCTATGCTCCTTCACGAGGAGTAACAAGCGTAAGTAAGCAAGTATCAAAACTATCAAATAAGAAAAAATAACCCATCAAATGTTTATACGACAGTATCATTGTAGATGCCTTAAACGTTCACGTTTAGTCAATCATCCCTAACTCCTCTATGTTTTCAAATCGAAAGTCTGGAGATCCAACCGGTAAGACAGAGTCCAATAACGCATGTTTCCAAGTATTTTCCAACGATTTCTTTCGGATGAGAGCAAGGACGTAAGTGATGGTTGTTTTGACAGAACTTATGTATGATTGTAGAGATAACCAGAGCAACGTCAGACATCTAGATTGCTTATCTAGAAGACTAGAAGTGTGGGTCATATTATGGCCTGTGGACGAATCTTGACAAAGAGCTTTCAGCTAGTAGTCTACATTATAACTAACAGTGTCAGTATCATTGTCAAGTATTTATAAAACTGATTATTTTAGTGGCTTCTTTACCACTTCAGATATTTCCTAAACACGGATGCTACGCGATATATTCACATTCATTTTTATAAAGTGAATCATTACGAAAATTCGAACAAAAGATGCCTATTTTTACTATTCAGTTTGTTATATTTCACTGTGAAGTCTAAATTAACGTATATTGAACTGATACTCTAATAGATACAATCACATAATCATGATTAAATCAGAATAGGAGTAATATGTGACATATTAGCCACCTTCATTCAGCAGAAATTAAGCTACATTAGGACCTCTATTTACCTATTGACCATCGTTCAAAACAGTATATACTATTTTCAAGTATTTTGTGATCGATGAAACTACAAGTCTATCAAACCAACATGTGTCCTTATACATTTTTACTTAAACACTCGCTTCCATAATAATAAGACAATTATGAAGTTAAAGTTGATAAGAAAGAATAAGGAGACAAAAATACTCAGTGACCCTGTTTGTGGTGGATCAAATAATATATGAACTCAAAAATGATAACACAGTTATTAAGTACAAACTGTAATGTTAGTATATATCAGTTAAACGTTATAAACACAACAAAAATTAGAGACGTCACTTAACTCAACTGGTTTGTGTGTGTTCCGGTTGAGTTTGGTACCAAAATCCACAATTATAGATGACTAAAGATTTCAGTAAGATTAATGTCCTTCCAGTGATATAACCAAACTTAGAATATGGTATAATTTGGTTGCAGTCTATAAATGTAGACAGTAGTTGATTTAGAGTTCAGTTAACACAATCACGAGCAAATGGAGAACAAGAGGTATGTGTATAGCAGTGTATTTGTTAGTAGGTAACAGAGCGTGTCATGCTATGAGTGTAACACGACGGAAGAAAGTGTGTTCAAGGTCATGCACTTAAACAACACGTACAATCATTTAATAGTAAATGTACAGGCTATGAAAAACTAGAAGAGTAAATACAAATAACATCAAAAACTATTTACAAAATAAGCTTGTCATGCATGTCTCCACATAGCCGCCCCCCCCTCACTGTGTCCGAAGGTAACACGGGTTATAATAACAACAATAAAATTGTAAGAGTATGATATACATGTATGCAAAATAATATTTATGATAATAACCAAAAAGCAAAACAACATGGAGATGGGTGTAACATGCACGTTAGTAATATACAATGTAGCATGAATGTATCGTAGCACAAAAAATTGAGAATACGGTCATTCAATGTCTTGGTTTGTTAATAAAAACAATAACATGCAAAACTGTTAATAAACCCAAAAAAAGAAATTGAATTGTTTATTTTTATGTACAATTAATAAATGTCAACAGTTGAGATCATGAGTCAATTGAAGCTAGACCACCATGGAAAATCTGGAAGCAATAGACGGCCGTTTCGTCCTATCGTGAGACTCCTCATCAGCGCGCATCCACGATCCCACCTCACGGGATTCGAACTCAGGACCTACCAGTCACGCGCCAGGCACTTAAAAAACTAGACCACTGAGCCGGCATCCAGCGGTGTTAATGTCTAACTTCAACTAATCCACGAAATTGAGCGACACATCCACCATTGTTATCAGTGAGTTACTATCTCACAACTCATGATCTCAACTGTTGAAATTACTAAATCAGTGAAATTTCTCCACAAAACCCCTTCTGATACTAATTAATAAACGATTAGCTAGGATTCACTCGTTTATTATTGCGACGAAATGTTTTTAAAAAAAAACTGACAAAACGAGTAATTGTGGAAAATTGTGAATAATTATATACACGTGTGAAGAGAAAAGATGGTAGATTTTATCGAGAAATCGAGTGAATTTAACAGTGTAACATATCAACGATTGTTCGTTTTGATTTTTTGTTATTCAGCAATATGTACATAACGTTTGGGTTTCTTATCAGTCCTGCCTGAACGTGTTAAGCAAGTAGGCTTGATACTCGGTTTTTCATCCTCCTCTGCTCTTGTAGTGATTAGTGGGAGGGGTTTATTAACTGCAGTGCTATCTTCTTTGTCTTGTCGCGCTTTGTAGAAGGTTGGCTTTATTCAGTCTATTGAGATAGTCTCCGTCTTTCCACTTTGGTTGATGATGAAGTGTTTGTTTGTTCGTTTAATTACTTGGTAAGGTCCTTCGTACGGTTGTTTCAATGGACTTTTAACTGCATTGACTCGATCAAAAACGAATTTACAGGTCTCCAGGTGCTTATCAAGTTGTTTGCGGTTGTTATGTTCTCACGGAGGTATCGCTTTGCATCGCTTGTAATGAACGGTTTACAAAACCATTTGGATCATTTGACACTGTCGACTCATGATCGGCCAACTGAACTGGTAATGTTGGTGTAGTACCATAAACTAGTTTAGCTGGAGTGCAACCTAAATCCTATTTGATGGTTGGACGATTTCATAGGAGAACGAGAGGTAGTGCGTCGCTCCATTTCGATGTATCAGCTTGTGCCATCAGTGAGCTTCTCAACTGGCCGTGAAATCTTTCTACCAGACCATTAGCTACTGGGTGATAAGCTGTCGTTTTAATATGGTTCACATCCAGAAGTTTTGTAAATTCTTGAAATAGGATAGATTAGAACTGGGGCCCACAGTCTGTGGTGATGATTGAAGGTACTCCGTAATTTGATATCCATGTGTCTGCTACTGTCTCGGCAGATGTATCAATAATAGCACATTCTATTACCCAACTTGTGAATCTGTCCACCGCGGTGTGGATATGCGGGAATGAATTTGATGGTGGCAGGGGACCGACTATGTCTAAGTGAATGCGTTGGTAGCGTTTATCTGGCAGTGGGAACTTCCCAACAGGACTAATCGTGTGTTTTTAAATTTTGCTGCGTTGACATTGTATGCAGCTTCGGGTTCTTCGCTTCATATCTACG